GTGTTTGAATAGCTGAGGGTAGAACTTCTGGAATTCACATTTCTATATGTTTAATATAACCTGAGAAGAGTTTACCTGTCTGGAGTTTTGGATGCAGCTGTTTCATACAAGGGTGATTTTTAGCAGACGTAGCCATTTTATACTTATAAAGTTAGCAACGATTTTGGCACAGGAGCTTTTGTGTGCAAGAAAGCCACTGAAAGAAAATATGAATCAGAAATGAAAGTAAATCTAAGCAGAAATGAAAGCAGCTGCCAGCTTCCAGCACAGAATTCCAAAAGTTTAATTATGTAGTCATCACCCTTTTCAACTTAAACTGTATAGTTTGGCAAGAGAAAAAACAGAAACAAGAACAAATATATACAAAAAAAAAACCCCACCACCACAACACTTTATGTCACATTAAAGGACACAAAAAGACTATTTTGTAATTTAAGTGATGGCCTCTATTGAACATCCTTCCCATTTGTGTCCAGCCCTTCCAAGTACTGCTCATGGGGGATGCCAGGTCCATTCCAGACCTGGTGGGCCAGCCAACAGGGGGCAGCCAGAGGACAGGAATGAGCATCAGAGTCTGACACCCCTTCATCAGAGAGCCCAAAAAAGCAACAGTCAATCACCCTACCAGCAGTCTGCTAGCTGTTCTCTTGACTGATTCATTAGACAGACACCTCCCTCCCTGTCTCATCATTTCGTTATGACACAGGAAGATGTCAGCCTTTCATGGGACAAAAGGACATTCTCAGGAATGCAAAGGACTGAAATATCATCTCATACTCTGGCATGTTTCCAGGACACCAAGGATGTGCGGTCTCCTTAATCACAAGTCCTTTTTTGGTCCTGCTGCATTTTAAGAGACTAGTCTGACTCAAAGATGATATCAAGTTCACCTAAAGTAGCCTGGAGGATTTGCATTTGAAAGCCATGCAGCCCAAGCTTTACCAAACTAGCTTTTCTGAAAATAAAAACAGAAAGAAGGGTCTTGCTTGACAGTGATTTTTTTTTTTTTTAATTCTCAGCTTTGCCCTTGGGAGTGAACACTGCTTTCTGCCTCCATTATAATATTTTTGGAAGGTATGCTCCTTTTCTTTGGGCGAGGTCACTGGACAGACACAAGCTATTTTGGAAGGCTGTGTTTTCACTCTGTGGATGTAGTCATACAAGTGTACCTCAGCTTCATAATGCTGTTCCTACATGGAAAGCCAGTGTTCATGGAAGATCAAATTAAACTGGGCATCTTGGCACTGCAGCTGGGTTGGTTGCTGAGTCTTGAGAGAGATTATTGCTGTGGCATAAGGTTGTCAGAGCATAAAATTAGAGGCCTGACAAGTAAGGATTTCTCACAGGATCCTATACCTGTGGTAGACTCTGGAGCCAAACATAACCAGCTCTGACTTTCATTTCACACGTGGGATAGTTATAAATAAATGAGAGATTACCGTCCTCCCTGTGAAACAAGAGAAGTGAGGAAAGGAATGTTACTTGATGAAATCACTGCAGCCTAATCTTTTCAAAACACTGCTACTGAGCTCATACTACTGTCATTTCTTCTTGGCTGCCTAGACATTCTAGAGCCCTTTTTCAAGGATTTCCTAGTCTTGGATTTTAAACTCAGGTCTTCTACCTCTCTTTATGAGGTACAGTGAAGTTTTTCTCACATCCACAGGACCTCCCTTCCTCAACAGTTGCATCCACCCCCATTGTTCCTTTCAAGGCACTTTATCTATTCATCTGTTCTTGTCTACTTCTCTTTTATCAGCCCAAATTTTCATGTAATTTTATATTCTTAAGTAAAAAGATCTTTCAATTTCTTTTTTCTTATACTCAGTGTCAAAAGCCCACTCCTACCCCATAACACTCTCCACTGCTGCACATTTCTTGTCATCTTCTAGCTCTGATATTTGCTAGCAGACATGACAAAGACTGGGAGCCACAGGCACATTCAGAAACACAGTAACTGGAAAAGAACAATTTAAGACAGTGGCATTTCAACATGGATGTCACTTCAGTTCTGTCCCCATCATTAATTCTAAAGGAGTCTTTCATCTCTATGTTATTGTATTTTCAAGCTCTATAAAAGAAGTTTCTCAAAATTCTTAAGCAATTCAGAGCACATATCCTAGTCAGAAAGCAATCATGTCTTTTTTTAAAAAAATAGCTGGGGGATAAATCATATTTGCAGGGTGGTTTCCTACATTCATTGTTCAAATTGCTACATGCTAGCTGGGCCATACCTTGGATTTGTGAATGGCTACAAAGAGGCATGCTCACTAGATTCTGGAGTCATTTGTTAGCAACACTGAGCAAGAACAAGATACTCAAGGTCTGCCAACACATGTGAAAGACTGAGATGGCTCAAGCCCCAGATGAGCAAAAAACATGCTTATTTACACATTATTGCTCCAAGTCAGCCCCAGTTTACCGTCCATCAAAGTCAAGTACTGTCTGTCCAACTCAGTGGGACCACACTGGGACCCAGATAACATATTTCAGAAAGTCTCCTGAGAAAGAGCAGGAACATTAGCAAAGTAGCACATGAATTAAAGCAGGCTTGATCCTCTTTAGTGTACACTCTGAGCCTGGGGCCCACTAAGAACCTTCTGATCACTTAATCTCCCTATCTGGAGGATCTGTATATATATGAGATAATCCTGGTAATCAAGAGCGTAGATAATAGCATTATTATTTTATTCCCATAAAAAACTGAAAATAAATGTTTTCTTCTCCAGTGCAATCTGATAGGTAAAATGCACACATTCTGAAAAAGAAAACAGACCTGCCAGAAAACTGTGGAAATGTAATAGGAATAAAAGCGAGGATTAAGTATTTCAGAAGGCAAAACACACTAAGTAAAAATATTTTGACTGGATACATGTTTTCCAATCTTCAGGTGTAATCAGAAATTACTGATAAACAACATACAGCTGATACAATTTTATGGGATGTGCCAGAAAGCATAACCATGTTTACATACTGTAGTTGTGTACCCAGAACCCTTGGACCATGACAGGCAGGAGCAAAAGGCAAAAGGAGACCGAAGTGTGGCTAAGACAGAGGCTGACAACTGCCTCTATCCTAGGGGTGGGGAGCTGAGAATATTGGGGCAGTGGGGGACAGGAGAGAAAGCCCATAGCCAGAGAAGGGCAGTCCAGGTCTGGAACACTGGTGAGTGACCACAGCAGTTGCAGTCCTATTCTGGTGCCCCCCTTGAGCCCTACTTAGCCCATTATGTCACTACTAAAGCCAAAGAAAAATGTTGACAACTCAAAGACAGCACTGAAGGATGGAGTGTTACCGATATAGTTCAGCTGGTGAGAGTGAAAAGTCCAGTCCTCTCCCAGGGCTGTAACAGCAACAGAGCAGGAGCAAATCTTGTCAATGGGGTGAACCTTTTCTCCTAGCTTTTACATCTCTGAAGAAATGGACTCTTCAGCTTTCCTGGGTGAACTTCCTACTGATCAGAATTTCCTTCTGATCCTAAGGGAATTGTAGCAAGGACCAGAGGTCACTGCTATGACAAAGCATAGGCTTGGGAACAGCAGTTATTGACAAGCTTCTATTCAGTGAGCACCAGAATAATCCCCTAAATCATCAAGGGAAGCTCAGGTCACCTTCCATTCCACACATCCCTAACTGGTTTATTAATAGACTGAATACATTTGCTATTTCTACATAAGGTTAGTCTGTTCTATTGAATTTGTTTTGGATTTGTTTAGTTGTTTGGTTTTGGTGGTTTTTTTGGGGTTTTTTTTGGAGGGGGTTACTGTAAGATGAACAATACTTATTTTATATCATTCTCCCTGAGAAAAATCTCTGCTGTCTTACCAGTTTCCCAAATTTCTACAGCTTTCAGTCTCATGGTGAAAGATGGGACTTGGAAGGGAAGAACTTCCTCTATAGCCAGGTACTCCTGTTTCTCATTGGTTTTAAATTGCAAATTTATAATGATGGATACACCTAAGAAGGGACTGGATTTATTTGAAAATTAGCAGTGGAAACTGGCTTCTCAGAGTTCTTGCCATTAGACTACAGCAAAACATTTTGTGATAAACCACAGCACTACAGTTTGAAATTGGACTTGAAAAATCATCTACATCATATACCATCTGCAGAGCAGGAATTACTCACCAGGAGCTCTCGAGCAGCAACAAAATAAATGTATATATTTCTGCCAGAAGGGCTGTGCCAAAAAGAGCAGACTAACCAAGAAATATTTTTTGCTACACAGTACTTACAAAATCACTGTAGACCCCCAAGTGACTTGGATTGTCTATCTGCTGGAAAAGTATCCAGGATATCAATATGGTTCCTTATTCTTATTTCATTCATGGAAAAGTTTTTGGGCTTGTTTTTTGTTTGTTTTTTTCTCTATGGTTTTGATTTGATCCACAACAAAGACAAGGGGCTCTTTGCAAAATCTGGATTGATTTTGCTTTTCAAATTCTCATGACATTCAGTGAAAGCTTAATCCAGCACTATTGAAGTCAGTGAAAGTTTTGCCAATGGCTTCAACTGGGAATAAGAATTTAATTATGCACTAGTGAGAACTGTCAGCATTTGATTCCAGTACTTGCAATAGCAGAATGTGAGCCTAAACAGATTATAGTTGGTCCCCAAATGGCAATACCATGGACTAAACCCAACTCAGGGGTCTTTTTTTTTTTTAAAAAAAAAAAAGAGGAATTTTCTTCTAGAATCCAAACCCCAGGAAGCTTTCCTTCTGTTTCCAAAGTATTTCCTTGATATGCAAGAGATAAATACCCATCCTCCTTTTTCTGTAGAAGCATTTTTTGTGAATAAATTTTTCACAGATTCCCAGAATATTCTGAGTTGGAAGGAACCCATGAGAATCATCAAGCCAAACTCTTAAGTAAATGGCCTATACAGCCTTGGTGTTATTAAAACCATGCTCTGATCAATGGAGCTAAGTCCAGGCCATTGACTTCACAGGGTGAAATAAAAAGTTATCGTTGTACTTCTGTCTGATTCCTCCAGGTTGGCCTCTCAAGCCTGCAGTCCCTTCCTCCCCAGCACCAAAGAAGGATTGGTGCTCCATAATGCATGCTCTTCCTTCCCTGGGGAACCTCAACAAGCACTACTCTGGTATGTTAAGTCTTCTTTAGTATTTATTTCATTAGGAGACCAAGTCCTCCTTAAATGTCAAGAGATTGTCTGGGGCTTTTTTGTTTTTTCAAGACAGGTTGTTTACATTCCTGGCTTTCGCCTAGTTTTCCAGGTTATCAAGATTTCTGTCAGGTAGGATATTACTTTTTTTCTGCTCCCTGCTCTCCACACAATTATCTAAAGTGCTTTGTATTTTCCCACACAGGGCCCTCTTCTGATCCCCTCTAAACAGGTTTTAAGATGCCAGCTTTAATGGAGTTACTTCTGATTTAGTTCACTTTGGCAAGGAATCACTCCATGACCCTCCACAGGATTTGTTGCGTATCAACTCTCTAATTGTGCTGCATAATGCTTTTGTTTTCCTTACGGGTCCTCCTAGCCCCAAATCCATGCCTCAGCAAAAGTCCCACCGTAAGTTCATCTTCACATCACAGCCTGAAGGGGGACGAAGAAACAGAGCATCAGGATGACAGGAAGAGAATACAGCATGGGCTCTTACCTTCCACTCCATTTTTCCTGTTGTCTGTGGCTTTCCCCTGCTGCAAGAATAAGAAGACAAAGGACTTTTGCCCCAAACCCATTTCTGCTGATGCTTACACTAAGTTGAGACATTTTAATCTGTCCTGTCCACAATAACTCTGTTCATCCCATCTGGGTCTTTCACTGAAAGAAAAATCTCACCTGCTTTAGAGGTGTCTGTTGGTTTGTTAGAGAGCAATCAAGTCTAGTAAAGAGATTAAAGGGGCAGTTCCAGAGACAGATGAGATACATGGAATGGTGTCTACTGGATGCATCAATCTTGCATCTAGTTACAGTAAATCAGTGCCACAATGAACTCAATCCATTTCATGAACACAAGGGCTAAGGGTTCATTTTACAGCTGAGAGCAGTTTATTCCCAGAAGTTAATGCCCTGCAAAAGAAGATGAAGCAGATGAAACATATCAAGCTGGAAGTCAAATGTCTGTGTATGTGTTCTGTATTAAAGAATTTTTCAATATTTGCATTTTGTAAGCCTTAAGTTAGAATAGATATTGTGCCTAAATAAATGAAAAATTAAACATAGACACCCTGTTACTAAAATCTGTATGCTTAATATCTGAGACAGCCACTGACGCTTCTTCTTTCTGATAATTTACAAGATATATGGTTAGTTTTACAATCCAGCCTCTAAAACAATGCACACATTTTACTAGTAGCATAAAATGCTCCTGATATTAGTATAATAAAACATTTTACTTGGAAATAATCTTATAAAAGTTTTCCTAAAGCAAGGAGCAAAATGTGGCACATACATAACCATTCCTAGGTCAATCCACCACCCGAGCAATGATTAAATCTTAGAGAGATATTTAGCAAAATAATAGTGAATGTTTTTGAGAGGAGGAATAACAGGATATATTGTCTGAAAATCCATTCAGATAATGTAATAAATGAAATATTCCAGAGTTATCCTTAAAAAATATCTTGTCTAGGAAGCGTTGCTGAAACTTTTGATTGAGAAATTACCAGTGAAGGAGTTCTATCTACAAGGCAGCTGAGATAAAGTCCATGAAGAGATATATTTGGAGCCCTCCTCTGGAGGCAGTGCAATTCATTTTGAACCCAATTCCTGCTTTTGAGTAGACAGAGGCAGATCAGTATTTTGTCCATAGGCTCTCAGTAACTGACTCCACATTCATCTGTGTAATCAGAATAAACACCTTCACTGACAATATCCAAGTGAAAACTCAGGTTAACTTTCCCACTTTACACAAAAAAAAAAAAAAAACCAACTTCAAAAAAACGTATGTATCTTTTAGTGCAGTGGAGGCTTGGAATCACTATCATCCATTATTGACTTTGTAGCTAACTAATGGCTTTGCACAATATTAGCATTACTAGTATGAATATAGCTAATGGATATTAACACAATGTGAAAAAGTGGTCATTAAGACACTGTAAAATGCATTTGGTTAATAATTAGCATCTTTGAAAGCTTAACTTCTCAACTAATGCATTTATTTCATATATTTATAATTGCAAAATCGTATGTACCCATTTTTATAAATTATAGTTTCGAAAGAAATGTGCTCAGTATAATTCTAATATACATTTTTATGCTTTCCTTCTTTCTCTTTTAAACGTTATAGAAAGTGCAAAGGCAGAAGATTTTACTCTGTTATGGCAAACTAAGCAGATGGAGCTCCTGTAAAAAATCACTCCCTAGACAAGAAAAGCAAAATGCCACATAGAAATGCAATGCTCCTGAGTAGACTCCAAAGTGCTTGGTCTTCTCTGTCCCAAGTGTCCTCTCTTGGAGCAGTCACTTGATTTACTGATAACACTCAGGATCTGCTGGATGAGCATCATACATCAATAATGAGCTTCATCAAAAGTTTAGCTTCAACACAAAAGTTTTTACTTAAAAAAAAAAAAAGTACTTCCCATCCCAAACACCATCATGGTGGAAATCCAGTTTTCTGATACAGGGAATCTGCAAGAAAGTGGTTGAATTTATCATATCCTAGAGAGGAAAAACTCAAACAAATAACACTCTGAATAGCCCTCAAAATAAAGAACAACAAGACTCTGGATGTGGTAAGCATAAGAAACAGAACAAAAGGAGTGTTGGAGGACAGTAAGGAGACAACATCCCCTTAGCAAGGCCCTGACTAGGAAAAAAGGAAAAAATTCAACAAATATCTCCTACACCTTCATACTGAGTTTTGATTTTGATCAAATTAGAGATGTAGTTACATTTTTTTGGTTTACGAGTGGGACATGTGAGACCTCCTGAGACCACTCTGGCAGCTGCAGTAACACTCTAGAGGACTTCAAGCAGCAGAGGTCTAGCCACACCCTGTATGGTCTCTTATCCAAGATATACCAGCCCTTGGTAAGGGGTAAGGGTCTGCCCAGGCACAGTAAAGCCTGGCAGCCTTTTAACTCGACCTGCCCAAGAAGAGAGGCCTCAGCTTGGCTGATGTAACCCTCTGTGGCCTCTGGCACTGCCTTCACCCCAGCAGAGAGGGGTGGCTGCTGTGTTGGCTGGGGCACAGTGTGCTCCCAAGCTGCCTCGTGGCATGCCAAGGTTGCTTATATTTGTATACCGTGAGCACAGAGACCCCCAAGCTGGAGGTTTTCCTGTCTTTTTCACAGCATCCTTTAAGCAATTCTTCAGGTTCCTGGGGGAAAAAAAACCAAAAAACCTCCTTAATGCCTTATTGAGTTCATTTGAAATTCCAAAGCTAATGAAGCTTTTGTCTCCCTCTTAACCTAAGAGCTATTGTTGCCTCTAAAAATAAAAGAGATAATCTGTTAAAGAGCTAAAAATACTGAGCTCTGAGAGCTTTTTCAGACCTTTACATAAAAGATGATTGACACTTTTGCACCTTTAGTCTTCACAAAGGAAATGGTGATGCAGGAGATCCTATGCCCACCTCACAGCAACTCTTTCATCAGCCGTCTGCCAGTTGTTCTCCCTCCAATAAAGCTCAAATAAATCATAAATCCAGCACAGTCTGGGTAGAAGACTAGTGCTCAGAAAGTGGTATTCATGAAGAATCTAAAACAATCACCCAAGGGTGCTTGGGAAACACTGTTTTAGGAAAGAGCTCTATATCTTTTTTTAGTAGGAAAAGCAGGGAGTGCTTTCAGATAGGAATGCCAAGAAGTCCAGCTATGTGCCACCTGCCCAAATCCCCATGGCTGCAGGACAAACAAAAGCTCTCCTGGAACACAGTAGGACAAGGGGTGCAGGCTGGGTGAGGTACTACATGCTTTGAATTGAACAGGACATTTGAAACAATTAGACCTAGCACAACCAGTAGCACAAAAAGCTCTCCTGTTTATCAAAAAGAAGTCTTGAATAGTCACAGTGCAGTGAGCAAAACTGTTCATTTGCCAGAGCTAACTTGTCAGGATAGACAAACATTTGCCTCATTTTCCTAACTTCAAAGCAGTGTTGAGTGTCCATAAGCAAGGTGTTGGCAGAGGCAGGACTACAGGGATGAGTCCAAGTGAAGAGATGAGGAGCTGGCCTGTGGCAGACCCAGCCAACTCCAGCTGGCTCCACCAGACCCACTGCAGGACACAGAGGAGCCCATCAGATGGTGCCTCTGTGATAAGGTAACATAGAGAGGAGAACTAAAAGGAATGAGAAACAGCAGAGGGAACACCAGTGTCAGAGGAGGAGCAGGTACACCTGCGGGAACTGCAGCCCATGGGGAGCACAGGAAGGAACAGGTATTTCCTGAGGGACTGCAGACTGGAAGTAGAATCCACATCAAAGCACAGGAGAAGTGTGAGAGGAAAAGAGTAGGAGAGAGAAATCACTAAACCTCTACGTTCTGACCATAACTGTCCCCCCACAAACCACCTGGGGACCATGTACAGGAGTCTGGAGAGGAGAAGAAAGGGAGAGAAGAGAAGGGGATGGGAGGATAGATCTTAATATTTGTGTCTTACTGCCAGATTCTATTCTAATTTGCAATAAATTAAATTAGCTTTCTTCAAGTCAAGTCTGTACTGCCTACAAGAGTAACTGGTGAGCAATTTCTTTATGTTGACCAATGACCTTTCTTATCCTATTTTCCCCCCATGCCCCATAGAGAGGGGATCATGAGTGAGCAGCTGGATGGAAATTTGGGTGTTTGCCAAAGCTAACCCAACACAAAAGTGAACCCATCACAATGTGCCAAAAACTCAGCAGCACATGGATGTTCTCAGCCTGGAGCCTCTGCAAGAGGATGTACTTGTTTTCAATCAAAGGAAGTACTGGGAAAGGTAAAAGCTATTTCACAGAGTTCTTCTACAGGTATAATAATAAATACATAAATAAAAATATTATTCCCTAGGGGAAATACCAGTTTCAGCTTTTGCTGATCATTTGGAGGAAGAGGAGGCATCTGAATGATCCCTGAATCCCCAGTCTTGCTGTTCTTTCTGTTGGCAATAAAAAGTGAAGTGGAGGACAATTGAAGATTTTCCAGCAATGACACCATATAGAGGTTCTTTTGGATTCTAAAAATATCCTGTTTATTTCAGGTTGTTCTTTCAAACAGAAGTTGCAAACCTGCTTCTAAGTCCTGAAATAATTTCAACTGAGCATCTAAGCATATAGCAAGATTTTCTGGCTCTAACTACCATGGGACATTTGGGCATTTTGGTCACTTGTTCCAGCAGATGCATAATCCTGAACACTTTCTATGGCCAGCTGCATTTAGCCATTTTTAGTCTACAATTTTAAATGTGAACCAGTCTTTTTCCTGGGTTCTGAATTCTTATTATGCCAAGTTTTCCATCACTTGCACTACACAGACTACAACTTCTTTGACAATAAAAAGGCTGCAATGGGGAGGACAGTAAAGGAAAAAAGATTTCTTCCCCTAAACACTCATTAGGTGAAGTAAGGAGAGGCTGAGAGCACATTTCTACTGTCCAGCAGATTGCTTGTGCTGTGGGGCTAACACACAGACTTCCCCAAGCCTGTAAAAGGTGTCATGAATTAATCTCTAACTCATTTGTACTCTAGAAGGTTTCCATCCATTTAGGCTATCAGGGGATTTGCTGTGCTTCCAATGTGTCATTATAAAGTCCTTTAAAATATTTCAATCCTGCTTTAAACTCCTCAAAGAACTTTAACTGTGTGGTGTAAATTTATGAAGACCATATGAAAGATGTCAAGCTCACGATAAAAGTCAGAGATAATCTAGAAAAAAAAAATAATTGGACTACAAATTAATCTTCAATGTTCCTGTCTGTTTCCACTAAAAGAAATATCTCTAGCAGTGCCTCCAGGACATATCTCCTGGCAGAAGTCAGCCAACTTTCCTCATGTGTCTGTGAATATTCTGAAGTCAATGGTCACTTCGACAAAATCCCACAGTAAAGCCTTTTCATCATGATCCTGTCATTTTACAAGATGCACAGGGTTTGGTCAAAGACCAAACTGCCTTTGAAAAGCTGGGTTGTTTCTGC